CCTGTCCTCTTAGGAGGCAGTGAGGGCACAGGGCCACTGACCTGGGTGCCTGCCCCAGCCTGCCATTACACACAGGCTTTGTTCGAGGTGTACCCCCACTTTGCTAAGCCTCTGTGTCCTGGCCTCTAAAATGGGACTTCAACTCTCTCTGCTTCAGGGTAGCACCCAAGGAGCTGTGCAAACTGTGGAGGGCTGAGCCGTAGAACATAGCTGAAAACCTGCTCTGAACACCAGTGACTCTCTGTGTGTCCTTTTCAACTGCATGAGCTTAGCTAGGGTGGGAGTCCGGGGGTGGGTGGGCCGAGGAGTCTTTACATATGTCATGAAAACACTGCTACAAACGCCTCATCTGCCTTCTCCCAAGGGCTCTGAGGACATTCAGGAGGAGGTGGTCTGGGGTAAGTAGGCTTTGTCTGTGTCTCCTGCATAGAGGAGGCCTCAAGATTCCCAGCACCTCACTTAAGGTGGATCTAAGGCTGGAGAGATGGCTCAGAGTGTAAGAGCACTGGCTGCTCTTCCAGAGGTCCTGAGTTCAATTCCCAGCAACCACATGGTGGCTCACAACCATCTGGTGAGATCTGGTGCCCTCTTCTGATGTGCAGACAGAATGCTGTATAAATAAAAAAAAATAGATCTTTGAGAAAAAAAAAAAAAAGAACACAGATCTATGACTCCCTGTCAAAAATGCCACCCACCCCTGACAAAGCACTCTTGCAGCCATTTTGTAACTTACATCAAAGTATGATCTACTGACGTCTATTAACATGATCTGATGTCTGTACAAGTCACGTTTTCCTGACTCTCCTCTGGCCCCAAACACCCTATGGCCACCTATATTTCATTCCTCACCCTGGAGTGTCCCCATCTGGTCACCCCTCCTCCACTTCTTCCATGCTCACTCTTTGAGCCAAAGCTCATTCTTTTCTGGGTGCGCCCCACAAACTTGGTTCCTGCCCCTAGAAAACAGCATGCACATTTGATTTTGATCATGAGGGTCACCCCCCCCCCCACTGTGGGTAACCTTCCTGTTGGCAGCATCGGATCAGCCCGGCATCCATACTGTTTCCAGGGCCTTTGATGCCAGATGCTGGACGCATCTGGACAGATGCTCAACAAATGCTGAAGAATGAGTAAATAAAGACAAACTTTTTTTTTTCTTTTGGTAAGAAAGCATCAGTTTTGTTTGCTTGCTTTTGGGATGTAGCACACAAGCAGAGGGCTCGTGCAAGAAACTGAGTTCTAACAACAGATGCACACAAACACGCATGAAGAAGAGGAGGAGGAGACAGAGGAAGAAGAGGAAAGAAAAGAAATCAAAACCGACGCTCTTCCAGGGGTGCCCAACCTGGCCAAACACAAACCCATGACATTGCGTGAAACCTTATGTGGGTGTTTTCTGTGGGTTTGGGGCTTGTTTTGTAACTCGGTTGGCATGGTTCTCAATCATGAGCTTTGTGGATGGCAGCGTCACGTTGCAATGTCAGAGGCTTGGATGCCTGCAGGAGTGAGGGTTTGCTGAGGACACGTGCTTTCCTGAGCGCTCAGTGCCCTGTCCGCTTGCCAGGCAGGTTCTACACCAGCTCCTCGGGTCCCCTCTGCGCTTAAGGCGTGCTGTGGCAGCTCTGGGGTCCAGGGCTGCTGCTCCCTCCAGCTCTCTCCTCGGTGCCTGCTGCCTACCCGGGCTCCCAGCAACAGGTCTGCCTGTCTCTGTGATGGCGAATGGGCTGTCCTTGTGCACAGGGATGGTCTGTCTCCATTACCAGTGATAAATGCTAGCGAGGCTGTAGTGACAGGGAAAATGGCTGTGGGTGTTTAGAAGGTCAAGAGTCAGAGTTCAAATCCAGGGGCCTCTTATCTTAAGGCCACAATAAGTCATTCTGAGCACTCATCATGACAAGAAGTGAGAGGCAGTGAACTGTGGTTGTCCTAACCACAGTTAGCGGCAGTCCTTTCAGTCTGTCAAAAGATGCGGGAAAATGACCCCAAGAAGCTGGAGCGTTTCAGGGAGACAGGACGGGTATCCGTGGTCCACAGTCGCCGCATCAGGGGTGCAGGGGCAGCCCTGGACCTGGAAATGCCTTGTGACTCTTGCCTGACAACCCCAGGCTATCTCTTTGGCTCCAGAAAAATCATAGATTTCTTCATTTTTTTTTTCTTCTTGCTAATCTGCTTAAGCTGATCTTAGATAGGAATTGCGCATGGCATTGCCTCTTGGCATTTAGTGCCCTATTCAGGCTCTAAACCTTGACTGTAAATAGTCCAGTTGGTCCAGATACAGTGGCCCGGGATTACCCTGAAGAGCTCCCTCCCCCCATCTCAAGACCTACTGTTTTTCTCCATTAAGATGTCTTTGATAATGAAGACATCTAGCAAGCAGAAAAAAAATCAAATGATGGCATCTGAAACCAAGGCCTGGTTTCTTGCTTGCAAAGTACCTAGACAAGGTTGTGTCTGTTAAAGCTTCTAGACTGAAGGCATTTTGTTGTAAAAAAAAAAAAAAAAAGTGTTGGGTTATATAATGTTTATTATTAGCCCTAAGATTATCATGGTGGTATTATTAATCCTGCTATCACAAATAATAAGACACAGACAACTGTTAGATTTTATAATTACCTTATTTACCTTGGGCTGGGCAGATATTTTACCTGCCCTAGCTCAATAAACTCACCATCCATCTCCCAGCCCCCATCCAGTGCCATCCACCTTAATCCTCCTCATCTGCTCTACCTTCCATCCATAATTCCATGGAACTTCCTTGTATTCTTCATCTGGGCCTTTTCATGCCATTATTGGAGCCCTTCCTTTCAGCCCATGTAGTTTTTCCTCCACGCTAATCCATCATGGCTGTCTCCTTCCTCCTGTTTCTCGGGAACTTAGCCACACCTACTGCGCACTCTGCCCTGTCCAGGTATAAGCTGTTTAATCAACCAATCAGGTGTGTCTTAGGCAGGTTTACAAAACAAGGATAGGTGTAAACAGATCTTGAGGGCTAGTAACACACATCAGACCAACATCCAACAGCATTTTGAAATAAGGACCCCCTTTCCAGAAACATCTGATCATTAATTTATAGAAGAATTTTAATTCAGAACATACATGGCTGGTCTGTCAAGATATAACATCCAAAGACCTAGGTCTGTGTGATCCAGATGAAATGCAGACACACCTTTAATCCCAGGAGACAGAGGGCAAGCAGATCTGAGTTTAAGCCTAGCACAGAGCAGGTTTCAGGTAAAGAAATCCTTGGGTACAGATGCAGTGGTACATGTCTTTTATCAGGAGAGAGGCAAGTGGATCTCTGAGTTCTAGTCAGTTCTGTTTGGGTAGTTCTGTGGGCAGTGCAGTGGAGTTGAGTTTATGGAAGTTAAGTTTGTAGAACTCAGAGGCAGTTTTTACTGGGAGGGTTTTATAGAAACAGACTGAAGAGAGAAAAAGCTAGACACAGGTGAAGACAGAATGAGCCAGAGAATGAAAAGGAGCCAGAAGATTAGAGCATATTGCCAAAGTTAGTACGAGACCAAGCAGGACAATTCAGTCAGAGGCCGAGAGAGAAGCCAGATGGAATCAGTCGTCTTAGAGTTTGAGCCAGAACCGTTGAGTTCAACTAGCCAGCAAGAGTTTAGAAAGAACTAGAAAGGGTGAACTTATTCAGCAGCGAATCTCAGAGGCTGAAAGCATTCTAGGCCTAGATTAGATTGTACGGAGGCTAGAAGCTTCCAGGGCTAGGCCTAGGTTAGCAGACAGAGGCTTATATTATAATAAGCCTCAGAGATAATTACCTCAGGAGAATAAAAGTTACATTTACATTAATTCCAGGGAGAGTTTGCCAAGAAGCACAGAAGGACAAAGAAGGCAGCATCCGTGACTCCAAGGCAGTGTCTGAGCCATCGTGTGTGGGATACAGTCTTCTGTCCCAGCCAGTGGCCCAGGAGGGAGAAGTGAAGCACAGCCTAGGTCCACAGCGTCTGCTGTTAGGTTCAGTCCACCCAATGTGGGCTGATTGACTACCTGTGGATGCCAGGAGGCTCAGCCTTTGAGATATCACCTGCAGAAGCCATGATCCGCTAGCTCCTGGGTCATGCGTGGAAGGGATGCAGGCAGCTGCCTTTCAACTCTCTCCTTGAGACACGCATGGAAATGGCAAGCTGGAAGGTTCTCCAAGAAGCCAGTAAGAGGCCAGGGTGAACCCCCAGAATGATTCATCCAGTACCAGTACCTCTCTGCAGCTTAGCTTGGTTCTGAGTTCCACTCAGGCCAGAAAGAACTAAAGATAGTCAGGCATAGTGGTGCAGGTCTGTAATCTCAGCACAGACACTGAAGAAGGCAGGACTAACGTAAGGGCAGCCTGGGCTACACAGTGAATTTGAAGATGGCTTGGCCTGGGCAAGTGCCTTATGAAAAAGGAAAGAGTCTACGTTGAGTATCAGCAGAATCCTAGCAGGCGTGTGTGTAGGGGTGTGTGTGTGTGTGTGTGTGTGTGTGTGTGTGTGTGTGAGTGTCTCTTCATTAGACCCTGCAACCTGCTCAACCTTATCAAGCTCTGCCTCTCCACCTCTGCTACCCCTTCCAAGGGAAGGGGGGGATTTACAAAGGCCTTGATGCTCTGCTTTTGCTGGGGCCTCGCCCTTCCCTCCCACCCCTCCCAGCTGCCTCCAGCTGGCCCTTCTCTTCCTTGCCGAAGCCAGCCTACAGCTCTGCAGCTCTGCTCCCGGAGAACAGGACACGGAGCTCCTGTAACCCAATTCCAGCTGGGACACCGGGCATGGCTGAGTCCTGGGTGGGTGTGTGTCTTCAGGAGGATGAGAACAAACCAGCGATGTCTGGTGTCACCCTCAACCCCATTCTCTAGGTATAAGGAATGAACGTTCTGGCCTGTGTCTAAGCGGTCCTGGGGAGGTTGAGATGGAGGTGGGGTTAGAGAGCTCTGTAGCCATCTTCAGCGTCACTCTGCCTCGGGGGAAAGGGGGTAGGAGTGTGCGAAGGAGTTGAATGGAGCAGGTTCAGAGGCGGCTAGAGTCTTCACTGTCCTGAGGAGGGCTTGTTGCTTGGAGGCCCTGCAACGTCTCCTCACAGGCCTTGTCTGGGAGCAGCACCTCTGCTGTGTAGCTGACCTTCTTGGTGTGCAGGAGGCTGTAGGTGTTGTCAAAGCGCAGGACGTCTGCAAGGACGGAGAGGTGACAGACAGCATAAGCCTAGCTCCTGGGTGATGATGGGAACAGGCCGACCAGGCCCGTGGGTAGGATGTGAGCATGATGTGAGCATCAGCCACTGCCCTGCCCCAAGCCCACTGCTCTCCACCACCTCCGGGGACTGTAGTGGCAGCACTGTGGCTCTCCAGCATTCCACCAGCACTTCACAGTTCCCTGAATCCCTCCTCAGAGCAGCCCTTGAAGAAAGGCTGTCATTCCCATTGCTGTTTTGGGTAAGTGTTCCTAGAAGAGCCATGTGTTGAAGGCTTTGTCCCCAGCGTGGCACTGTCAGAAGGTAGTGGGGACCTTAGGAGGAGGGCTCACTGGGTCTGACAGGGTCTCACTGTTCGGCCTAGGCTTCCCTTGAGCCTCTGACCCTCTGGACTCAGCTTCCTCAAGTGCTGGGATTACAAGTGTGTGGCAGCACACCCGGCTTCTCTTCCCTTCCCTTTTGCCTCCTGGATCGTGAGGTAGGTGGTTTTTCACTCCGAGTGTTCTTGCCATGATATACCATGAGCAACACAGCCTCAAAGCAATAAGGTCACTGGATCTTGGGCTAGAACATCCAGAACTGTGTGGTAAATACCCCTCCCCACCTTTCTTTCCTAAGCCAACTGACTTGGGCGATTTGTTACAGTATGCGGAGCTGACTAAGACACTGGACCACATTGTTTCTGTAAAACTGACACCAGATCTAGACACTTCTTTGGGCTGTTTGGAGTTCAGGCAACTGGACAGGTCCCTTTCACGGACCCTCTGACAGAAGTCCATGGCAGCTCAGTCTCTTAGCCTGCTATGCTCCTGGGCTCTGAGCCTCCAATATTGCACAATGCACCTCTGTGCTTACATCCACCGATCAGATCCTAGACCCCGAAGATTGCATCCCTGAAGCCCTTAGGTAGAGTCCCTGCACCCTCCCTGAGAGCTGGACATTGAGTGAACCCAGAGACAGCAGACTGGCCCAAAATGGCCGCCTTTCTTCCTACCACTAAGACAAGGGCAGGAAAACCTGAAGCTCTTACAGACTCCGGCCTTGAGGCAGGTGAGGCTCCCGTCCTCAGGGACCATGTGGGTGTTGAAGCGCTGGCTGGGCAACACCTCCACCATCTCCCCGGCCTTCTGTCGCTCCCCCATTCTGGTCTTCAGGAAAATCCCGAAGCCAATGTCTCCACCGTCTGATGCAAACTGCCACCTGCAGCAGACGGAGCCCACTGACGACCTCCTGTGTGGTCTGGGAGGCCCTTCCAGCTGTGCCCGGGTGTGCGGTAGCCACTGTCCCTACCTGAGCACACAGCCTGGGAACAGGATCTCATTCTCCACCTGGTGGGAGGAGCCTCGGCCCACAACCACAGTGTGTCCGTACTGCGGCCTCTCCTGCTTGCACATGTAATAGCGCTCGGGTACGTCACCCCCGTAGTTGATCTGTGAGTCAGAGGTGGGTAAGGATGACAGTGGAGCCACAGGGGTCTCCTCCCTCCCCATCCTCTGGGCACCCTGTACCTTGGTCAGGCACTTGGGGTTGCCATCAGGATCAGTCATAGTCCCCCCGAATTCCACAGGGAGCTGATCAGGGCTCACGAACTTGAGTAGCTCCTGTTTCCAGTGAGCTGTGTGAAGAACAGGGGCTTCTGGGAGGCTCTGGGGGACCAACTGAGAGCCCACAGAGAACATGGCTTGTTCTCAAAGTCTACTCAAAGCACTCATGAGCTTGCCTTCTGGCTCTTAGGCCATGATCTGGAACCGGAAGCCTGCTCTGTGTGCTGATGAGGCCAAGGCCATTGTCTGTGGAAAGAGGATGTCCCAGGCCAAGGGGGCCTTCGGTGGCATCCTCTGCTTTCCAGACAGGCACAGGGCCGGACCTCGCTGGGGGGCAAGGGTCAAGGCACTTACCGCCCAGAATCACTATCTTCTTTTGCGTCACTTCACCCATGAAGGGCTTGACCAGGTTGAAGGCCACCGGGAAAAGCTTGGGAGCTGAAACACACAGAACTCCGTTGGGAGGCTGGATGAGAGGAAACACCAGGGCATAAAGCCACAGCCATGGTGGTTTTCTGGGTATTTGTTGCTCAGATCTGGATTCTGCCATGCCCTGCTATGTGAGCTCTTTAAGGACTTAGGCCTCAGAGTCTTACTGTTGTTGGCTCTAGTGACAGCATGGCGCCTGGTTCACAACAATCAGCAGTGTCCCATGGTCTAGTGTAGGCTGTTGGGCGCAAGCTGGGCCCATGGTCAGCAACGGTGATTCCCTGAGACAGCCCTTCCTCTCCCAACTCAAGGTTTTGCTAGGTGACCTTAGAATCCTTTGGGGTGCGAGTAGCTGGGAGGATCTGCTTTAGATACCCTGTCCCACCCCAAGGACACCTGCTAACTCACAGAGCACTTCCCGTGGGCCAGGTTTAATGCACAATCTTCCCATTCAGCAGACTCTCATTAACATCCCAACTATCTCATGGGGTCGGGGCTTGTACCATGGTGTCCCTGTCCCCACTTCACAACATGGAATAGCTGAGCCTCAGTGAAATGAAGCTGACTTGCTCCAAATGAGAGAGCTGGCTGGATTATGAACTCCGGTCACCTGAGCCCAGAGAATATGGCCATACTGGTCCAAGACAGGGAGCAGTCTTGCTCACAATACATCCATCAGCCGATGCGGTCGGTGGTCAGTGAGTCAGTCTACACTGAGGTGAGTTAGGAAACAGCAGCAAACATTTAGAAACCTGACATCGCTCCAACACACCAGGCTGGGATTTTGCATATTACAAAAACAGCAGTCTTCAAAGGAATGGAGTTAACAAAACACTAACAAAAACCTTATTCTTCACAAAAGGTAATTTTGAGACATTCTAACTCAAAGGCTTCTTTACTGTCTCTCTGCCTCAGTCTCCCTTCTGCAGGCAGGGGTCCTCACAGTCACGGACTCACCTCGAATAACGATTAGATGTTTCACCGTCTCAGGATAATTTGCTTCCAGGATGGCAAAAAACTGGGAAGACAAGTGATGTCTGTCATGGCTGTGCCCAGCACTTTGGATGCCCAGACGTCTGTGGCACTGATGCTGCCCCACCCCAGCTTTCCCCCATGACACCCTCCTCCAGGCTGTCCTTGTTCCTCATCCTCCTTCTAGGGTGATCCCAAAACCGGCATCTCAAAGCCAGGCTGGTCTATAGGTCCCCTGGAGGGTGTCTCTACTTTTCCATGCGAAAGCTGGTATGTGCTGTGGGTCCCCTTGGCCCAGAGCCATTTTTGTCTCTGGCCTTACCTGCTGGTAGACCTCCACAGCTGGCTTCCACAGGTGCCTCAGGCCCAGCCCTTCCACATCGAATACCATCACCATTCTCTCAATCTTCCTGCCCAACTGTGTGGAACAAGGTAGGTGCACAGCTTAGATGATTAATTCACCCAGGGGGTCCTGGCTGCCTCTCTCCATCTTCTTGCCACTCACAACCCCCGGGAAGGAGGCCTGTCAAGTCCATGGCATGTCCCAAACAGATCTTATCCTCTAGGGTGGGAGAGGATGTTGACTCTGAGCACTGGCAGGGGCTGGAGGCTCTCCGGGAACTACCACAGTTTGCTCAACACTGGGGCATGACTAAAGCATGACTCGGGGGCTGGTAGGATGGCTCAGCAGGTAAAGGCACTTGCTGCTAAGACTGGTGACCTGAGTTCAATTCCGGGGGCCCACGCGGTGGAGGGAGAACTGACTCCTAAAAGTTGTCCTCTGTCTCCACATGTGCACCATGGCATGTGCTGGGCTCAAATTTCAAATTCACAAAACCAACAAGGTCGCCTTCTGCTCTGAAAGAGGTAAGAGACAGTCCAGGTGGATATGAAGGCCTTCTTGGAATAGAAGCTGCACCCTTGAGGTGTGTGTGTGTGTGTGTGTATACAGACATACATACACACATAGTTTGCTTTTTAAGAAAGGGTCACTCCAGCCTCAAAGAGATCCACCTGCCTCTGTCTCCCAAGAACTGGGATTAAAGGGGTGCACAGCACACCCAACTCTACACATGTATTTTTTTATGTTTAAATAGCTGTCTGTCTGCCTGCCTGCCTATTGTGTATGGCATGTGTGTGTGTGTGCAGGTGCATACCACGGTGCTTATATGAAAGTCAAGAGACAACTCGCAGGAGTCAGTTCTCTCCTCCCACCATGTTAGTTCCAGGAACTCAGGCTGTCAGGCATGATTTCAAGTGCCTGTACCCTCTGAGCCCTCTAGGATTTCGTGTGTGTGTGTTTATGTGTGTGTCATATCTATGATACATACATACACATACTAATATCTCGTACACACACATATATGTAACTGTAGTATCTCCTTGGGTCCCATGTGGAATGCACAAAGTCATGGGTTGGCTTTCATAATTAGAGAATCGACAGTGGTGACTATCTTTCCCATAAGCAAAGCTGGCTGGCTGTTCCAAGAAACCCTGAGAGCAGAGCTAAGGGCTCCTACTACGTCCATGTCCATGGTGAGTGTCAAGGCCTTTTGATGTGGGTGCTTGCTCATCAAACACTTCATGAATCCAACCAGAAGTGAAGGCATTTGTGACCCTAACTCATGCCAGCAGACACACGCGCACACACACACACACACACACACACACACACACACACACACACACATTCACACTGATGCTCAAATCCTACTGAGAGCTAGTGAGTTCTAGAGAGACAAGGTGCTGTTCTTTCCTGGACCTAGTGCCTCTTTTTGGACACACTAACGCCATCATACACCGACCTGAACCCCAGCACTCACCTTTTCACTCTGCAGCTCACACTCATGAAGAAGCAGCTCATAGACTTGGATCCGCTTCCGGATTATGTCCTGTTTAGAAGCTGACATCAAGAGCCCCTTGGGGTCCACTGTCCCAATGATGTCAAACCACACAGGGCAGCCTTCGTAGTCATAGCCACAGAGACCGCCTGAGTCGTAGAGCTGGATCACCTGGACACATGGACAAAGTCCTGACTCAAAGCAGCCCACATTGTGCCATTGGGTGGCTAGGCGGGGGAGGGGGCAGCTGCAGACCTGGGGCTCCTGCAAAGGGCTCACCTCTGATGGCTGCCACGTGAGGATGTGGTCCAGGTCATGCAGATTCCGGAACTCCACATGCTGCAGAGACATGGGGGAGCTGAAGAATCTGTCTGTCCCCCAAAAGCCTCTCTAGGTATTGGGGACACAAGGCCAGGTCTCTCTGTCCACAGCCATAAGACTCTGCCAGAATGCCCTTAGGCTCCACAGAACTGGGAGCTGAGGTGGGAGAAAGAGGAGGGACACCAGCCTTGCTCAGAAAGGAATCCAGGGGGATGGGAAAGGAAACAGGAGAAGGGACCCTCTTCTCTGGCCAGAAACCAGGGTTAGCACGGGAGAATCAGGACGCAGGAAGGCAGGGTCCTACCTTCCGGAGCATGTCCTCAGATTTCTTAAGGTCAAAGTTCCGAGCTGCAACAACATGGGAAGGAGAGACCAAATCTAGAATGAGCTGGTCTTGGGGGTTTCAGCGAGATGGCTCAGCAGCTACAAGCGAGTGCCACTGTTAAGTCTCAAACCAGGACAAAGGACTAACTGAGGTGCCTGTTCACATAGCAAAGAGGACCTAGGCAACAAGTTCTCCCAGCATCCTTCAGTCTCCACCTGTTATAGGGTATTGCTGTCATATCCCATCCCCTGCCCTAAATTCTTCCAGCCCAGGGGTTGAGCTGCCCTTCCCCATATTATCCAGCCCTTTGGGTTGCCTGGCCCTTTCGGTCTACCCTTTAGCCTCCTGGCCTCTTGGACTGGCTCTCTCCTCTCCCCTTCTCCCTCTCCTCACATGACCTGGTTCACAATCAGGTTCATTCTAGACTCTGCCTCTGGCTATGCTCTCCCTTTTATCTACAATAAGCTTTCTCTGGCACCGTACCCAGGAATGTCATGTCCTCACTTTTTTTTTGTTTTTGTTTTTGTTTTTTCATTCAGCCACCAAGCCTGATGGGCCTGAGTTTGATGTCTGGTGCCCACAGGATAGAAGGAGGGAACTCAATTCGAAAACGCGCTGGTTGCATGAATACACCCACCTCTCAATAAACAACAAACCGATAAACAAACATAAAAATTATTTAAAAGTGTTAGGGCGACCTGGTTCCTAGAGGCTCATGAGGCCAAAATTAGGGTGATCTCACTTTTCCTGATAACCCCAAAAGCTACTGGGGGCCTGGAGATTATATGTGTAGGTGTCCGTTCATGAGTATGTGCGTGCAGAAGTGTGTGGCCGCCAGAGGTTCATGTTGGGTGTCTTCCTCAGTTGCGTTCTCACTGACCCTAGAGCTCATCAGTTGCCTAGAATAATGGCCGGCCGGCAAGCTTCAGCTCCCTCAGTTCTGAGGTTACAAACAGAGCATGCTGGGTGCTGGGAGAAGAACTTTGGCCTTCGTGTCCACTCAGCACGCACCTTAATGAACACAGGCATCTCTCCAGTCCTGGAACGGCGGGCAAGCCTCGAGCTCACGGTTCGTCCAGTTTTACAAATGCCGCGGCAGCTTCTTTGTAACGCTACTAGCTCGCTAAGAAATCTTTCACTGATGGAGCCGAAGCGAAAGGCACCATCAGAGATGTTCAAGCAGAAGGCCAGCCTTTGCCCTGTTCATGAATCGCCTCGAGAAATAAGCAGGGAGGCCACTGGCCCAGCCTCTCCTCTGGGAACGCAACCGCTGCACACGCGGGCAGCCCACCCCATTCCTCCGCAGCTGAGCCTGACCCTGTCTCCTCAGGGCTCCAGTCCCACAGTCAGAGGCCAGACAAACATATGCAGGTGCTTGTCTGCTTATCAGAGAGCGAGCATCACTGCAGGCATCCGAGAACAAGCCCGCGCGTCTTCCTCTGGGTGTGTGTAACAGTGTCACCTGCATCGGTGCTGGTCAGTTGCGCGGTCTGTGATGCCTAGAACCAGCCACCTCGGAAATGTTCGGTGTGGCAGTCACTAGCTGTGTGTGGCTACTGAGCAACAGGAGTGTGGCTGCGGAGATGAGGACCTGAAGTCTTAATTATCTAATTTGGATAGTTAAGTATGTCTGCAGACTATCAAATTGAATGTAGCAGCTCTAAATAGCATTTAAAGGTTTTGTTTGTTTGGTTGTGTGGCTCTTGTCTGTCCTAAGCTAGAATTCTAGTTTTATAGGCTTAGTGGCTTGAGTGCCTGAGTTTCATCATATTTTATAACTGGATAGCATCGCTTCATCTAAGAATTCTACTAGTTTTTGTTGATCCTGTTAGCCTTTTTTTCCCCCCTAAAAACCTAAAACTGTTTTTAAAATAAAGTTCCTAAAAATAATTTTTTAAAAACACAGAAAGAACAAGAGAGAGGAAGAGTGGCCCTAGTTGGGGCTTCCTTCATTTGAGCCTGGTGACCTTTCTTGACTCAGCACCTTAGAGACAGGCAGCAATACCTTGCCGATGCAGTGGAAGAAAGCAAGGCTGAGAGGCCAGCTTCCCGCCAGCGTTAGGACGTGCAGAGTCTTACAAGCCTGTCTTGTGGACAGCTATTTAAATTGCTCGCCTTGTATCCCTTGGGGAGGCAGAGGCAGGTAGATCTCTGTGGGTTCAAGGCCAGCCTGGTTTACAAAGCAAGTCCAGGATATCCAAGGCTACACAGAGAAACTCTGTCTCGAAAAACCAAACAACTCTCCCCAAAACCAACCAAACAAAGACAGAAGCATTTCCTCCGCTGAGCCCTGGTGCCGCTCCTGGCATTTTCCAGGTTGCTGTGACTTCTAGAAGAGGCTGCTTCTCCACCTAACATTGCTTCAATCCACTTTGTTTTCGCTCTGTGCCCTAGGGCCTGAAGGCAGCTCCAAGTCCTAAAGACAGCGTTCACTGATTCAAGGCCAAACTGGAGAGGCCTAGGGGCCTTCCCAGGATTTTACTCTGTTGAAGCCAAAGGCACTGGGGTAAAAGTATTCGGAGACTTGACATAGAATAGATTCATTAAAGAAAATACACTGTTGGTAGAAACAGGGAAGGAGAACAGTCCTGAGAGAGAGGGAGCTGCCCCTGAGAGGAAATGGGAGTAACTGTTCTGGTAAGCAGCAAGGGAAGTTCCTTAGCAGTGTGGACGCACATCTGGATACATCACTACCTTATAAAGTAGCAGACTTTACAGGGCCAGTTGTTCTTCTTGAGACCAACCATCAGGAGAGGGAAACATAGGTCATTTGGAGTTAGGCGATGGGTGTCTGCACAAGAAATCGCAAGTCTTTGGGGCCAGGCCTGCTTCAGGTTCTGACTGACAGAACGTGGAAATGTCAGAACTAAGAAGATGGCTCATTGAAAAGTGTTTGCCAAGGAAGCCGGAGGACTAGCTCATACCCCCAGCCCCTCCATAATAGCCAACTGCACCTGATGTGAGGAGGTGAAGACAGATCCCCTAGAGCAAGCTGCCTCGTTAGACTAGCCAACCGACAAGCTCAGGTTCAGGAGACCCTGCTCAGCAAATAAAGCAGAGAGCATTTAAGAAAAACCTGGCAGAATCTCTGGCATCCACGCACATGCCTACACAGAGAAGTACACACCACACAGAATGCTGTAAGTTTTGGCCCACAAATTCAACTCTGCACGCCTAGTGAGGTTAGGTCCCACACTCAGGACAATGATCGAATGGGTGCCTATTTAATACATCCAAACAGACTCTGGGCTGCCAGGTTCTCTCACCGTCTCTCAGTGCCTGTCACAGAGTCACCCTGGCTGGCGTACCCCGCTCCCTCCCCTAAACCCTCCAGCCCAGGGGTAGAGCTTCTGTTCCTCCAGTCTCTGATCTCTATATAACATTGGCCATTTTGGCTATGCTATCTCTTGGAACTCTTATTTTCTAGGTTCCTAGGTACTTTCTTTGTTCCCCCCTTCCCTCCCTCTTCTTCTCTCACCTCTGCCTCTTGGCCCAGTTCAGTCTGGACCCTTCCAGATGCCTCTGGCTGCGCTCTCCCTCATATCAACAATAAGCCTCCTCCTCCACCCATACCTAGGAGCAGTTGTATCCACATTTGTTTTCCATTCATGCGCCAGTCACAAGCCTGTGACACGGCAGGACTTTCCCCGGAAGTGCACCCCCTCGTTTTCCTGCCACCTTGCTCCCTGCCTCCCGGGTCCCTGGGACCTCACCTCGGAGCCAGCGCAGAAGGAAGTAGTCATCAGCCTTGGGCAGGGTGGGCAGCACATCCTGGAGGTTCTCCCGGAACTGAGAGGGAAAGGGTGGATATGGCGGTTGGAGCGTTGCTGAAGCCATCTGGGTCAGAGCCTGAACCCAGACAGCTCAAACAAGGGAGGTCAGGCCAATTAAAAGCCAAGCAATAGTGGATAGCTGAGAAGAGATCGATTCAATGAGGCCACGAGTGGAAAGAGGAACAAAGAAAGAGGTCCAGGGATCCCCCTACCCACAGGTGGTCCTTTGTGGTCCCGGAATGAGGCTCAAGTTTAAGCAAAGGGCAAGAGGTGTGTATAGCTAAGCCGTCCTGGCAGTAGGTGCTTCTGCCCCTCCCAGACCCATCCATGTGTGGGCTCCAGTTTGTCCTGCAAGGGGGTCAGAACTGGGTGAATATCACCTTGGATGACAGGTTCCCTTTCTGGCTCGTACTGGAGCCTCCCCCACATCAGTACCTGAACCCCACCTTTTCTCCCCACTCCTGTGTGACTCAGATGAAGGCTAGCCTGACGGCTCTAGAGACATTACCCCAGGAATGGTGCCCTGATGGTCAGGGTTAGAGAAGAGTTACCCTCTCTACGTTTCCCTTTCCCTGCTTGTGAAATGAGGTAATGCCAACTTTGTCCAGTCAAAGGCTCGAATGTGTTTAAAATAAGCATGTAAACCAGGTTTGGTGGCACACATCTGTAACTCCAGCACTCAGGAAGCTGAGGCAGGAGGATCATGAGTTTGAGACTAGCTTAGGCTACATATGGGAAGCATACCTGAAAAGAAAAGGAAAGAAAAGGAAAGGAAAGGAAAGGAAGAAAGGAAGAAAGGAAGAAAGAAAGAAAGAGAAAAACTACGAGGCTGGAGAGATGGCTTGGTAGTTAAAAATAATCGGATGTTCTTCCAGAGGGCCCAGGTTTGCTTCCCAACACCCACATGGCCGCTCACAACCATCTGTAGCTCCAGTTCTAGGGGATCCAAAGCCCTCTCTGTCCTCAGGCACCAGGCATGCAGGTGATAGACAGATATGAATTCAGATTAAAAAAAAAAACCCATACTCATGAAACAAAATACACATACATACATGTACACGCACACACACATAAACAGGCACTCGCAGGCACATACCTCTATAAGCCTGGCCCTACTACCCAAGAGGCAGAGGTAGGTGGATCTTGCGAATTTGAAGCCAGCCAGGACCTTGTTCCTCAAACCTCTGAAAAGTAGCAGTAAGAATTGTTATTTTGAGACAGGGTCTTACTCTGTAGTCCAGGCTGGCTTGTAACTCACGGAGATCATCCTGCTTCTGCCTCCCAAGTGCTGGGATTAAAGGCATATGCTACCAATCCTGGCCAAAAATAGTTCCAAAAAAAAAAAAAAAAAAAAAAAAAAAAAAAAAAAAAAAAAAAAAAAAGAATCAAATGAGAATGCATTTTGCTTTGCTTATATAATTTTCAAAAAGGAATTCGTGAGGACAAATGACCAAAGGTAAAGGCAGAGTGTTGTGGTATATTAAATGTTTACTATTAATACCTCTTTTAGTTAAGCAGCGGTTATTCCTAAACAGCTGTATTACCAAATCACCACACAGAGACTAGGATTTATAACCTAGAGCACAATGCTGGGCAATAGTTACTCCATCCTAAACCTCCAAGCCTGCATAGTTTCCTCCCATTCAGATTTCACTCATTATACTTGCTTTCAGTCGTATCTTAGGTCTGGTTCATTTCTCCACGTTGTTCCAAGACCTCTCCTGCAGATTCTCCCTTCTGTCTTCCTCTCTTCCTTCCTCTTTCTCCCACTCCAGACCAGGATATCCCACCCTATTTTCTCCATTGTACAGCATTGGCTGGTTGGTTGTTTAATTGACAATATAGAGAACAAATGGTGGCATGTTTACACAAACTTGAGACAGGTGATGCTTAGAATAAGCATCACAACGCAACGTCTGTATTGCAACCAGACAGTGGGGTAGAGAAATCAGCATTTGAACGAACAAGGGTAGATTATATACATTCCAAAAGAACATTATACCAACAGTAGAGAGATTCCCACACTGTAATAATCAGACTGTGAGCTCTTGGGGGCCTGATGACACACACCGCCACTTGGAAACATTTACAGCCTAATGCCTAGTGGCCAGTCTGGAAACAACTGTTGCTCTAAAATGTACTAAAGCCAGCCTGTGGCGCAGCCTGAGTGATGACTAAACTTCCAGTCCAGGTGCCGTGACACAGCGACCCCACAGTTGGCGAAGTCTCTTCTGGGGCGTGTGCTGCTGTCACCGTGCAGCTGTACACTTAACAACCTCTCCTCCTCTACGCCCCCTCCCGCCCCCCCACCCCCACCGCGGGCCAGCCCCGGAGCCCCTCCTGTAACTAGCCTGACACTCTCATTGCGTGGTAGTCTCTGGTGCTGACAAGCAGCAGGATGAGAGCAGGAGTCCCAGCAGGCAAAGGGAGGATCTACCCCCAAAAGGAACTGCTGCCTAAATAATAACACCCGCACTCATAATCCACTCTGGGCGGCTGATCAGTCAGCCTGGTGAGAAGCCGCCTTACAGTGTCACACAGCGCTGTCCCCAGGTGTGACCCAGTGGTCCACACTAACCAAGCTCAGGGAGGCTCTACAAGGAAATGATCCTGGGCACTGTAGAGCAGAGCTCTAGGCTGCCCAGGGCCTTTCCTTTCTTCCTCCTTCCCTTTCCTGCAAGTTTTAAAATGGTAAGCGTTTGTTATTTTTAAATAGCGGAGAAAGCAGCAACGGCTGGAGGGGTTCCCTGTCACAATCCACCCAGAGGCATGGTGTCCAGGTCCAAAAGAGCCTTGTGCCTGGCGCTTTCTGAGCCCGCCAGCACTGGGAGGCTGGTCAGAGGATCCCTCCTGTTCCGCTGGGACCCCTCTTTCACTTGGAGAGCCTTGGCTGAATCCCCAGGTCCTCCCTGGAGGGTTCCTCCCCATAGGAGACACTACAAAACAAGCCACTCGTCTCTCAATCTTTGAGACAGTGTCGCTAGGTTCAGGCTGGCCTTGAACTTGTAATTGACCTGTCTTTGACTCTCAAGGTTTGGGATTCCAGACTCAGTCCTCCAGCGTCTGGCTCTCTGTCACAAGTCTTAGGCTTCCCTTTCAAACAAGGCCGAGTGGGAGCCTGATCGGGACTCCTAAGACCTGGGCCTCCCTTCCTGATAGCCCTTCCCTTCTGCAGGCACAGCCTAAAGGATGCTCTCAAAATCAGATCCCTCCCCCCGCCCCCCGTTCCTCTGTAATAATTAAAAGTAAGCAAATAAGTCTGATAGGGAGACGACTGGGAACCCGGGGAACAGAAACCAAAGCAAACCAAACCCTGTCGCAATCTGGGCTGAGATCTCCGCATCGGTGGCCTGGCAGAACCCACAGGCCGAGAACAGAGGCCAGGAACGGCTAGCGGAGCAAGCTGTGCTTGAGGGTTGAATTCGCACCCACACACACCCACACCACACCCACACATCATATCCCTGGTCCGGTCCCCACGCAGTGCTATAGCCAATGTGGTCCGGGTGGGTTCAGCCTGGCTCCCGTGCCTTCCCGCCAGCCTCGTCCCTCACCCTGGCCAGTGCCTCCTCCTGCCGCGGGCTCAGGTCCCCGACTTGTCCGCTCATGGTGCACCCTGCCTGGCCTCAGGTGCCGCTACCTTCACCGGGTTTTGACGAGCAGGTCCGATGTTGGTCCCGCCCCACAGGAGAGTCCCCGTTCCTGCCCCGCCCTACCCAGTGCTCTCTGGGTTTTGTTTTTGTTTTGTTTTGTCTGCCCCAGGTCATCAAGCCTACTCTACCTGGTAGAGAGGTGACCTGACCTCAGGAGGTGACAAGTGAGCCCTAAGTCCAGGCCTCTGACGCTCAGGTAGGAGTGGGATTGTGTGTGTGTGTTGGGGGGGGAGCATTTAAGGGAGTGTTCACCTAAGCACACAGGCCAGGGGCAGGTCCCTCACCTCCAAGTAGGGCATCCTCAGCCCTGAGCCTTTTTTGCCTAACAGGCTGGGCTCCTCCAACGTTCAAAGGCCAGGAGAGCCCTCCTGTGCCAAATGGCTCCAGCGCCCTGCCGCTCTTGACTTGACGTTAACAGGATTGGGTAAGATGTGCCTCCTAGCGTTAGCAGAAGGCCTGGCATGCCTCATTCACTGTGACAGGACGGAGTTTCAAAACTGTTGTGAAGGCTCTCAACAGGGCCGGGAACTCCAGGATGGCCCAGGTGGTGAGCACCTGGGAGGTATCACAGCAGGAGGGCCACTGAGTGAGGGGGAGGCGGCTGACACAGGGTAGGCTGAGCTCCCTGGGTGGGTGGAGAAAACACAGGCTGCCTTGGCATGACTCTTCTGGAAAGCAGGCGGCATGGGAGCGGGGAGGAGGCAGTGAAACAGGCCACCGAGACCTTTCCCCTCTCTCCTCCAATGGGGTCAAATCAAGTTCTAGATACGAGATGAGCAAACATGGGCTCATGGGAGACTGCCGCCCATTGGAGATATGATTTGTCACCGGTAAGCATGGGCTGTGCTGAGTAGAAACAGCACATCAGATTTCAGTGACTTAGCACCAGAGACAGTAAATAGTTATTTTTTGCTACTGATTATATGTTGATACCATAACTTTAGATATTCTGAAATATATAAAATATATTAAAAAATAAAAAAAAGGACCAGGTTCTTAGGTAGACCAAGGTGGTTTTCAGACTTGCTATGTAATCAAGGAGAATCTTGAATTCTTGTTCTTCCTGCTTCCACCTCCCCAGTGCTGGGGTTACAGACAGATGCCACCATGCCTGGTGTGCTGTCTAGTTTCGTGTCAACTTGACACAGGCTGGAGTCAGCTGAAAGAAGAAGGGAGCCTCAACTGAGAAAATGCCTCCGTCAGATTGAGCTGTAGACAAACCTGTCTCCATTTTCTCAGTTAGTGATCAATGGGGGAGGGCCCAGTCTATTGTGGGTGGTGCCATCCCTGGGCTGGTGGTCCTGGGTTCTCTAAGAAAGCAGGCTGAACAAGCCATGAGGAGCAAGCCAGGAAGCAGCACCCCTCCATGGCCTCTGCATCAGCTCCTGCCTCCAGGATCCTGCCCTGCATGAGTTCCTGTCCTGACTTCCTTCAGTGATGAACAGTGATGTGGAAGTGTAGGCCAAATAAGCCCTTTCCTCCCCAGGTTGCTTTGGTCACAGTGTTAAGTCTCAGTGATAGTTTCCCTAACTAGGATACCTAGCTTTTGTGGTTCTGGAGCTAACATACAGGACAAGCCCTCTACACACTGAGCTAGCTGTTCCTCAGGTGAAAGGATCCAGGGTGGACCAGCGCAAAATGCATTCATTTCATTCTTTTTCCGTTTTTATTTTTTATTTACTTTTTTTTTTTTTGAGACAGAGTCTCACTACGTAGCCCTCGCAGACTTGGAACTCACTCTATAGATCAGACTTTAAACGCACAGAGATCCTCCTGCCTCTGCCTTGTGGGTGATGGAATGAAAGGCCTATTTTAAATTTTGTAACCAACAGGTTTTCTTCTGAAGGGCAGCTTCAGGATTTTCTCTGGTAGATCAGAAAGCAGAGTCTTCGTGTGTCTCCTGTCATTTCCCACCACTTCTGGGACCAGGGTGGGACACCCTGCCATTCCTCAGTGAGATTTCCATTAGGGCCCACCACTGGTGAATAGTAATTGAATAGTAAGGGTTAGGAGCTGTAAAATGACCTGCCCCCAGCTGTGGTTTCAGAGGGAATACTTTCATTACCCTACAGCCCCTCTCTGCTTGTTCTTTTTACTGTCTGAAAATGCAGGTACCTGGGCCTGGAAAGATGGCGCAGTGGTTAAGAGCACTTGTTTCCCCTCACGGAAAACCCAGATTTGGTTCCCAGCACCCACATCAGGCAGCTCACAACCGTCTGTAACTCCAGCTTCAGGGGTTGGATGCCCCTCTCTGCCCTTCTGGGTCATCTGTACCACAGGGTACACCCACACACAGCCACACTCTCAGACACACAAGCATGTTTAGTAAATCCATACACACTCAGACACACAAGCATGTTCAGTAAATACATACATATTTTTAAAACACAGCTGCTAAGCAGTGTGTGGTGACACAGGGCTAAATTCCAGAATAACTGGAAGACTGAAGTGGGAGGACTGAGAGTTCCTGGGCTCCATATTAAGGGACCCTTTTCAAAAAACAAATTGTATCTCCCAAACATTTTAAGTTATATTTGTGGCTCACACTTGGGATTTGCTTCAGATTTCATTTGACTAGAATTTGCCCTAGGAAAATTTTAAATCAAAAGAAAGAGCCTTGAAAGAAAATCAAGCTGGGCTTGGAGAGATGTGGGCTTGCAGAGGCCCCGGGTCCAGTTCCCAGCACACACGGAGGCTAGCCCTCTGTGATGCCAGCTCCCTCGGAGGATCCAATGCTGCCTTTTGGCATCCATGGTCACTCACACATATGGTACACATACATACACGTATGCAGGCAGAACATCCATACACATAAAATAAAAACAAATAAATCAGAGCCTAAAGAGATGGCTCAGCGATTAAGAGCATGGCTGCTCTTCCCTTCCAGAGGACCTGGGTTCAGTTTCCGGCAATCACATGGTGGTTCACAACTGTCTGTAACTTCACTGCCCCAGTATCTGACTTCAGGCTTCTGCGGGCACCAGTCACACATGTGGTGCACAGACATAGACGTAGACAAAACACCCCCCCGACAAAACTAATAAAATCAATAAATAAACCTCAGAGCCTTGTGCATGTTAGGCAATGGCTTTGCCACTGGGCTATACCCTCAGTCTAAGAATCTGTTACACAAGAAAGCATTGCACATGAATTCAATGACTGGCTCTTTGATCACCTCCCCCTAATGGGGGAGCAGCCGTACGAGGCCACAGAGGAAGACAATGCAGCCAGTCCTGATGAGACCTGATAGACCAGGGCCATATGGAAGGGGAGGAGGGCCTCCTCTATCCGTGGACTTGGAGAGGGGCATGGGAGGAGATGAAGGAGGGAGGGTGGGATTGGGAGGGACTGAGGAAGGGGGCTACAGCTGGGATGCAAAGTGAATAAAATGTAATTAATATAAAAATAAAAATTAAAAAAGAAAGCATTGCACAGAGGCTCACACCTGTAATATTAGAATCTGAGAGGTGGGGGCCAGCCTGGGCTTTATGAGACCGTGTTTAAAAGGAACTGATTTAAAATGCTGTTGGTATCTGCTGCTGTGAATTTGTGGAAAGCAAATATATAAAAATTGGTATCTTCATAAAGGACAAATGCAAATTTATGAGGAAAAAAAAGGCACTAATGGAAAAAGTAGCCCAAGCACCAATTCTCAGAGAAGCAAATGCACAGAGAGTTTCATTTGGAGGCTTACTGCTCCCAGACTGTAGTCTTCACAGGGTGTTCAAGCAGTGAAATGCCTTACACCCCTGAGAGGTCAGAAGGGGAAAAAGCAACACACACACACACATACACACACACACACACACACACACACACACACACGAACGCACTTTGTAAAACTAACCATAGTGTTAGTTGGGAGTTGGTGAAGTTGATACCTTCGTGTGTGTGTGTGTGTGTGTGTGTGTGTGTGTGTGTGTGTGTGTTGCCTGCATATATACCTCTGTGTACTACCGGCAGGCAGTATCTAGAAGAGTGTGTCAGATTCCCTGGAACTGGAGTTATGGATGGTTGTGAGACACCATGTAGGTGCTAGGAATCGAACCCTAATCCTCTGGAAGAACAGCCAATGCTCTTAACCACCGAGCCATCTCTCCAGCCTTGAGGCTATTGGCAGGAATAGCACTGTTTTTCTAGAAATGACTTGACAACACTTACCGGATTCCTCAGTTTGCCGCTTTGCTCAGTGATAATCCTGATGGAAAATAGTTTAGATTTACAATCTATGTTGAATATATATATATATATATATATATATATATATATATATATATATATTGGAGAGATGGCTCAGCAGGTAAAGTTGTTTTCCACTAAGACTGAGGACTGAGTTCCATCTCTGGGACCCACATAATAGACCAAAAGGGCTAACTCCAGAGAGTTCTTTCTGTCCTCCACACTCAACTCATAGGACGTGGACACTCACACAGACCACCCCCCCAACACACACACACTGACACACTGACACCCAGACACATCCACACACACCCAGACACATCCACACACACACACAGACACACAGGGACACACACACAGAGACACATACACAAACACACACATACATGGACACACACAGTGACACGTAGCTACATGGACACACAGGCACACACACCAGTGGGAAAAAATTAAAACCCAGAATGTGTATATATGTTCATGCGTTTTAAACAGAATTTGAAAGAGGTTGAAATAAACTATGGTCCTTGGTGTAGTTGAAGAATTTATAATACAGGGGAAAAATAACTATGAATCAGCTTGAAAAAGATGGGACCAGATGGTGTGTGCCTCCCACTCCTGAGGAGAGACAAATCCACTCAGTGAGGGAGGGAACAAGCAAGGAAATGTGCCTGACTTTCCTCTCTCCAAGGAAAGAAAAACGCTGCTGTGACTCATCCCCTGCGGAGAGAAGCCTGGATTTAGGCAGCTCCGCTCACCAGGTCTGCTGCGAGTGCTTG